AAGTGGGATCGCAAGGGAGTTGTATGGTGCATGGTATAACGGAGGCAAGTGCTGAGCAATCCTGTGGGTAGCGGCGTTTATTTGTTATTTATCTCCGGACTGTTGCAAAGCCATTCCTGTCATATAAATTGTACAAAGTAGCATACAGAAAAACAAGTTTTGCACTTCACCATCTCAGAGAATTAGCATTATGATCTCAGCGACCCTCGAAGTTTGAAAGTGTTGAACTTAGCGAATTATAATCGATCCTAGCTTTGCCAATAGGCCTGACTCGTCGAGTGATTTATCGCCACCATCGATTTAATTATCTCCAGTGCGTCCTACATAGTGAAATAAAATTAAGCAAGTTTCTCTAGCAATTTCTACCCCGGCGAGCACGATCCTATGACAGGTGTCATTGCTTGCGACTTTGATTGCGACCCTTCAGAGATAAATACTCTGGAGTGTCAACTAGCATTTGTTTTAGGCGTCAAAGTGTTTGTTTTATTTTTCTAGGTCTTCCTACGGACTACCCTACGTCGTCTTACTCCTCCTTCCCCCTCGAACTATTAAAATACCCCTCAGTTGTCTTGGACCGCCTCCACCCACACCACTGGTGTTAGGTTTATTTCTTTTGGTCCTTGGTGATTGTTGTGTGTCAGTGCATATCAGCGGGGTGCCATTGTGTACTGAACAACCCCTCTCTGTTATCGTCTGACAGTGTGCATGCCTGGCCTAGGCAGGTCTGGCATCCCATTTGCCCGCAACTTCATCCTAGCGATGGCTATCTGTACGTTGGGGCCCGGTACCTTAGTATGTAGTTTTTCCAGCTCTCTTGGCAGGCTCATTTTGCTGACTCTGCAGGCGGAATGTCTACTTTAGGACCTCACCTGACATATATGCACAATTGAGGCTGCCAAATCAGCAAAAATGACTAGTTGCCCATGACGAAGACTCACTCCAACATATCTCCTGCCGACTTAGGAGTTTACTCTTGTCACTGCGGCGAGCATCGAGCGGCAGCTTCGGGTGCACCCGATGCACTCAACCTCCTATGCTAACAGCCAATCATGTGCTATACGGTCGTGCGGGAGCCGGGAGATACGGAGAAAATATTCAACATGGATAGAATATAAGAGGAGCTTGCTGGGAAGTAGAGCCGACATGTACGCCATGTCTTCACGGTTGCGGCGGGACCCTAAGCCATCTGCCAAGGTTCGGGAAGCTGCTGAATCAGCCTTGGTCAACTCGTCTGGCTCGAAAACATCAAAGAAGAACAAGACTTCTGCTGCTGCTTCGATGCTTAAGGCTAGGATCACAACTGGCACCAAGGTCCTCTCACATCCCCTCAAGAAGGCCCACTCTGCACTCTCATTAGCTTCCCACTCCTCGGTAAACTCTTCATCTTCAATGCGCAGTCACTCCCCGGCTCTCTCCCCCATATCTGTATCTGATGCTCTCCCTACACGGGGTGATGCAACAACAGAGGAGGCGGTCACAGATGATATGCCAGGCCTTCAGGATGTCTCTGACGACGAAGAGGACAATGAGGATGAGCTCGGTATGTGTTGAATTTTGATCAGAATATTGATCAGAGATTACTTGTCAATAGAGCGCCTCAAAAAGACTTGGAAGTCCCCGATTTATTCATTTTTCAAGGTCAATGATGTCAAACTCCAAAGGATCGACAGCCGGCCGTGCCACTTCTTCCCATGTGCGGCAGCCAGGTGTAAGGCTTCTTACAAAGGTGTTTGACGCTTTCAAGATTCCAAGGATCGATCCTCCACTTCGAACCTTAAGTCACACGCTATTCACTGCTTCGGCGCCGAAGCGGTTCAGGCTGCAATCGACGGTAAGGTTCCAAAACACCAAGATGGATCTATCTTTGCGGCATTTGCACGGCAAGGCCAACGCCCAGTCATGATATCGCATAGGGTCTATTCTAATGCTGAGGCGCGGTAAGCTACGTTAATTCACTCCTCATTGGCATTCTGAATATCTTCATCAGGGCACATCTCGTAAAGTGGCTGATGGAGAGCAATCGGCCACTCAATATTGTCAATGATCGTGAGTTCAATGATCTGATGATGGCCGGACACCCAAGCCTGCATATACCATCAAGGCCAACGGTAACGAGGGATATCAAAGCATGCTTTGAGAGGTCCCGTGAACGGATCTGTAAACTACTTCGGGTGCGTGCCATACTCTATCAATAGCCCGGTTATATATCCTAATCGCCCCGTAGGAGCATCCAGGCTTACTGAACTTTGCAACCGATGCCTGGTCTTCTCCAAATCATTGGGCATTTGTCGCATGGACAGTTCATATTGAATACGAAGGCTCAATGATATCATTTTTACTGGATATCATCGAGGTTCCCGAGGTGAGCACTTTAGGCTTCGTGCACACACTTAATGTGGTAGCAGTAACATCTCTTAGTCACACACAGGCGAGGCACTCGTGCGAGCGTTTCATAAGATGTTGGTTTCATTTGGCATCGAACAGAAGGTACGTGCATCGGTTATGGCAGAGAATCCGATCGCTGATCAAAGTGACAGGTTCTCGCTGTCAGCGGCGATAACGCAACCTCAAATGATACCCAGACTAAGTCACTTCACGGCATGAAGAATTCTTTCCATTCAACGAACCGCGTCTGATGCTTCAATCATACGATCAATCTTGCAGCGAAGGCTCTCCTCCGCCCTTTCAATGCATGTATTGGTAATAGTCTCGGTGATGATACAGAGGGCCCAGAGAATGATGATGAGGTGATAGCTGACGGTGATGAGTTACCTGACCTTGCAGACCTTTCTGATGATGAGGATCCATTTGATGACGATGAGTTGGATGAAGAGAGTGAGGATGGTGGCTCCGAGGGTGCTGTCGATGAGCTCGGTGCACTGCCTCAAGACAAGCAGGAGACTCTCATCACTGAGATGACAGCTGTCAGGCAGATGCTTACGAAGGTGCATACCTAGTGCGCACAGGCTAATATCAGCTAACTTTCCCAAGGTCCGGAAGCTTGCCTTTGGTGTCATACATTCGACTACAATCATTCTCCCTGCCTGGTGTCGAGCTTGCGAGGCTAATGGTCTTCCCATCAGGCTTATGCGCGTGATGTTACAACAAGATGGAACTCGATGTATGACATGGCCAAGTTTGTGCTCCGCTATCGGAAGCCTATCGATGACATCACTGGAGGAAAGTCACTGAAGCTGAGGCAGTACGAACTCGACGACGATGACTGGGCGATCATCGATGACCTGGTGCGCGTTCTTCAGATATGTCCATTGCCGCGGTGGATGCATCAGATGTCTAAAGAGTTTCTCAGATCTTCAAAAATGCGACGCTCTTCTTTTCTCAGGACCACTCGCAACCATCGCGAATGTTATCCCCACAATGGATATCATCGACAAGATGCTGTCCTGACGTGACGGTCATTCATACCACCCAGCAATCCCTCCCGCGATGCACCTTGCGAAGGCCACCATCAAGCGGTATTACAGTAGGACTGACGACTCAGATGTTTATCGGATCGCAATGGGTATGTCCTCATACTCTGCTAATCCTCAGGCTGATATGATCTACGTACAGTGCTACATCCCGGGCTGAAGCTCGAGTACTTCTGCAAACATGGCTGGGAGTCAGATTGGATCAAGATGGCCAAGAGTATAGTATACAAGCAGTTCACAAAGTATGAATCGAAAGGTGTTCATGCAAAACGTGCGAGTGAAGGAGAAGCTAAGGCTAAGGTAAGAGCAGCGTGAACGTTCCTGCTTGATCTTATGTCATCCGTTGTAGGATCCTGAGGGCGACTCTGCAATGTTTGCAAATATATCGTTGGCAGGAGAGATACCGCCTGCCAATGAGCTGGACCAATATCTTGGTACTAGTGTTGAAGATGTTCGGGACCCCATCAAGTGGTGGTCTGATCATCATCAGACTTATCCTCACCTTTCCCGTATGGCTCTAGACTATCTTTCAATTCCAGGTGAGTCATGTCCGCTGGCGCCTCAAGAGTTCTGATTACTGATGCACTGGTGTATCAGCTACATCCACAGCTGTGGAACACATCTTTTCTCAAGGCCGACAGCTACTTCACTTCACCCGTAACTGTCTTGGACCAGGCTTCTTTCGTGCAATCTTGTGTCTGGGCTCATGGGGCCATAGGGATTTGTTACTGATGGAGGACTTGACTGCTGCGATAAATACTAAGAAGAGAAAGCATGCGGAGGAGGTAAAAGTAGAAGATGTACAGATGATATCTGACTAGCCTATGTATATGGCAGAATCATGGTCTATTCCAGTGCTCGGAGGCGGTGTGGATCACGGTTAGTGACCCGCATGGTGTTTCATGATACCGCGGTTCTGTCGGACGGGTTTTCAACCCATACCCCTGAAGGTTAAGGAGGGAGCGGGTAAGGGTACGGGGCTGCTGTGGTGGCCCGCATTGTTACCCGTGATCAACCCTATGTACAAGTACTAAACCAGCACCGTTCAGATTGGGAGGGCGACGAGCCCAACAAGAGATGCTGAACCTCCTCAGGTGAAAGTTTTCCGGTTGACACACTCCGGTCGAGTGTTCTCACCGTGGTCTCGAGAGAACGTTATCCAGCCATCAGCTTCGTTCAGCCTGGAGGAAGCGCTTGCTGACTGTGAGGGCCATGCTTACAGTCAGGACATTTTGCATAGGGCTGTGGATGACGACGAGGATAACGTTGACCTCACTTCAGACCCTTATTGGTCAGTTGTGACTCAGTCTACAGATCCAATAGCCTCTTCGTTACCTCCAGCCTCTTTGTCATCTCTACCCTCCTCCGACCACTCCACGCTCACTATATCCAACGACCTGCCTCCTTCATCCGCCACCTCTATCCCTTTGGGTATGACACCGCCCTCTGCTCCTATTACCTCTACCTCACCAACAACAACCCTCTCTTCTACGTTCTCCCCTAAGCAAAAGGCAGCATACTCCTAGTTATTATATGTTGATCTCAGTGATACTAAATCATATAAGTTCGTAACTCTCAAACATAACTGTGTGTGGCTAGAACCTTCAATCATCCTATACTCGGTGTCAAGTACAGTTATTTCAATACACAATACACTATTTACTTCAGTACTACACTCGGGTAGCATTACTATCGAATCACTGAGTCAGTGCACATGCATACTGTAGCTGAGATGCACGTCGTCAGGCTGAGGCCTCAATGCTGCCAGTATTATGCCTCATATGTAACTTACCAATCTTGTGCCGTAGGCAGCAGGGTACTTGCCATCGGCGCAATTCCATACACAGCCGGGGGATGCCTGACAGTGCCATTGGCCCGAGATCTTGAAAGGATCGAGACCACACTACATATCTGGAATTAGTCCCTATTCACAAACGGTAATTATTGACATGAGAGGTAATAGCTCCTATTTGCTGATGGTGGTAAGATTTGGATCGGTGGACCTTCCATTTAAGGAGGGTGCTCCCGTTACAGTTAAGGTAATTTGGGCTATAAGGGGTATACCCCCTGTTCAACGCTGGCAATTTTCGATCACCAGAGAGCCCTATACAACGACTGAACAGTAAACCGATTCTAGGGGAATCGGAAATAGCTGATGGGTACATATAGACCATGGCAGAATGCAGCTTGGCAGCGCATGTAAACTCAAAAGAAATGCGGAAAAATACAGACAAAATTCACGGCTACTGCCAGTAGTTCCTGTGCACTAATGGCATCACTATATTACATAACACACTTCCAAATATGGAAATATGTGGTGTGGTACACTGCTGGAACCCAAATTTTATGCTCTTTCTGGCTCTGTGGTCCATTTATCCTTATTCTTCTTTGTTCTAGCTCCTATTTTACCTAACCCAGGCAATGTATGGAGGGGGAATATGTGGCAGTGATTCATAGAGCCTGGTGGCTATCCATTGCTGTGAAATTTTTTTTCATCGCCGGCTCCAAAACAATATTTCGGGTTTTCCCATGTGTATACTATATGCTACATCCTGGTTTTATAAGATCATACTCACCCCATATATATCTACAGGTTTACTTAAGACACCGAGAGATTCCAAGCAGTGCATCATTAGATACCGCTTTTGGGTGGTACCCTCCTGGGGATCCCCCAGGGGAGTGGAAAGTGGTTCAAGTGGTTGTGAATAGCTCTCCCTAGACTAGATAATCATAACACATCATCTGGACTACATTCCAGGCCACGCAGCCCATTATTTCTTTACATAGTATTACTCCACCTCCAAAACACACTGTTCACCCCACCCTTGTGCCACTGAGGCATCCGTTTCTCCTAAGTCCGCACTTCCGCGCTGATAAGCCTCAGGATTGTCTGACCCCTGAAAACGCAGACTCAGCACATTGTACAAGCCCTCTGGAGCTTATTCGACACGGCGCTCACACACCTCTAGGCTTCTATGGGCTCTAAAGACTTGTTCTATTTCGCTCCGGACTTCCTAGCATCCTCGAGGCGTACACGGACCCATTCCGTGATTTATCTCTGCATGCAGGAGCTCCGGAGCGACTTAACCAATGCGACTTCTAGGTGAATTAGCTCCGGGGCCCGCGGACACTTCTATCAAGGGGTGTTGTCCTCATGCTCACCCTCCAGCACTCACTCCCCCTCGTTTCCATCAAAATACCGAAGGTGCGGACGTATATGAGTCACCATGAGGTCAGCATCAGTCAGCAAGCGGCCGGAGGTAATTAGCACGTGACCGGTGCGTTGCACGGAG